TCGTAAAAAATCACATCAAGAATCACATCAAAACGTAAACAACTATCGCTTACCAAAAGAGTTTTTACAAAGATACTAGCTTTGACCAGTCTGGTACCATTTCTCAATTTTATTTTCACAAAGCACGCTAGGAAAAGGCCTTATCTTACCCTGAAAATATTTTGGGCAGGTATTTTTATTTTTTAGAAAATGACAAGACGTATATTCATAAAATGAAGCAGCTGCTTGCCCGGCACGAATTCTCATGGTCCTCAGTCATTACTTTTGCAAATGACCCTTAAAATGGGACATGCGAAGTTAATAATTTCCCTTAGTACAATGTAGTACACACGTACAGTACAAGTGGGATTCAGTCTGTCGCCGATGGCCACGCCCCCAGCAACATTGCACACAATTTCACAATACTCCTTTTCACCCCCATCGATCTATAATCTTACACTCAAAAGTTCCGGAGGAGGGCAAGGGTCTGTGGAGTCCAGTGCTACGCCCATGGCCGTGCAGATATCTTCTTCTTTATAAGCGCATTGATCGCCGCACCAACGGCACTCCAGCTCCGGTCTCGCCGTTTCGTTCGACAGACAGCGACTGCAATCTGGCCGATCCACTGCACAGTTGTATAGTGTAACTTTGCAAAAGGAAAAAAAAGCGTACTTTTCATTTACTGACAAATGTAGATTACAGAAACTAGGCTCAAACCAAAGATGGAGGCATCGCATACAGCATGGACATGTATGGTATTCTTACGTGTGGCCTGTGAATTTAACCTTAGGCTGGGAGGATGTGTCCGGTTCATAAGAGTTCAATTCTCTTTCTCCGAAAAGCAGTTCTAAACGCAACATTGACAGGTATCATTTTAAGTCAAATCTGTAGGGTAACAGTCAAGGGAAATGGTAAACACGAGCTTACAGATTTCTCGCAGTTTGAGTGCCCTATGTTTTGTTATAATACCCTGAAGTAAAAACAACTATCCTGACACAAATATACAGCAATTATGGACAACATAAAGCAATTATACAGAAATATACAGCAATTATAGACAACATACCGGGGGAATCGAATGGCTCGTCGGACAATTTGCATCGGCACGTCATTGCAAATCTGCCATTTTCTCCAAGACCATAAAAGCTAGAGATATTCCAACCATTATATTCTAAATCCCGTTTATTAAGCTTTCGAACGTACATAATTTGAGGGATTTCTTAATTCTCCATCAATAACCTATATCATCAATACATATCCGACACAAAATAACAGTATGTCGAAGAGGATCTAAACTGTTTTCACGAATGGGCAACTTGAATTGAAAATCACCTGAAATTTAGCCTCACCAAAGTGTGTTTTAAGAAGAACTCTAATTATCAAGATCTTTGGTGGTGAGCCGTTATGGGTTATCTCTCATTTCATATCGGTTTGTTATTTCTCCATCATTTGGTCTCATATAGACAGCTAACCAATAAATCGAAGTGACCATCCGACAAGCATCATACTACAATTTGTACACAACAACGAGTTGCTTTATTTTATGACGTACCCCGTCTATTCAGCTTTACACCAAGTATAATTTGTAGGAATTTGTAATTTCGCTTTAAATCAATCATCAAATACCTACAGCTAACCGAGGAATCGCATTCCACCTCAAAAAGGCATAGGCCTACATACGGCAATTTATACACGATAACGAAACGGAAACAAATATTGAAACATATCAGACGTTTTCTCCAAAACCCAGAAAGCTGGAGATCTTTAAGTATTTTGACAATGTAGCCCAACTTCTCAGTTTTCTAACAATGTAGGGTAGGTGCAGGGAATACGAGACCCTAGACTGAAGCTAGCCCGTATGCCATGAATTGTAAGCAATGTTGTTATAGCGCCATCTGTTGTTTCTAGCATCACTGTGGCAAGTATACAGCAATTTGTACACAACGAAGAAACACCACCGAAACATCGTTACATATCCGACGTTTTCTCTAAAACAGCAGAAGATGGAGACATTTTGGTTATTCCATCTTGTGGCCCAGCTATGCAGCTTTCAAACCATGCCAAATTTCTCAAGATTTGTCATTTCTTTATGAATTTATAATCAGATATAGACGCCTACCATCGAAGTGCCCACTCACAACGATACATACTGCAATTTCTGCACAACGAATAAACACCACCAAAGCGTTAATATAGGAACAATATAGGAACAATAGCATTGACAACAACATTTGCAATAATGCCTTATTTACGAGGATTTGATGGTTTACCGTCAATATATTGTCAATTATAGACAACAAACCAAGGAATCGGAGTGCTCGTCTGACAAACATACGTGCGTTGGTACATATCTACGCTGGACATAAAGTCTAATATAGACAACAGCAGGTGTTGATTTGGAGAGATTTGTTAATGTAAGCTTCCTCGTTCAGTTGGAAAAGAGCGTCAGCAAATTTAGCTTTGGAAATCATTCATTTAAACACGACGTCCATGCTCTGAGAAGTTTATGCACAAGCCTCTAATGGTAAATAATGTAAATACATTCATACACGATCGTCAAATCAATTATTGGAAAGGTTCGGGAATTAAAGATACATTTACAAAACGCATGATTTTAAAGCTGCTGTTTTTCTACAATATTAGTCAGAATATGATATCTGCAACTGAGAGGAATACATTTCACCTGTAAATCCCGCACTGTCCTCCAACTGTCTGTCTCCATTCCAAGAAACAGTCAACCGCACAGTTAATTCCTGCGTGTCACCTGAATACAAGTACTTCAAAAATAAAAAGAGACAACCAGAAGTATGACCGAACTGTATCAATGAGAAACCTTTCCAAAATAGAAAATATCTCAACTTGTGAATTCTGCGAAAATTTCCCCATTTAGGAATTTAATACAAGATTCTACGACCAAATTAATTCACAACGAGTTGTTCCATCGTCGGGAAGAGTTTCCATTCGAATCTACAATTCTTGTGAGCAAAATGCAAAACAACGTGAAGCAAAGTAACAGAGGAAAGCATTAAAACCTGTTTTAAACAATAGTGAAAGAGTCAAAATCGAGAAAATCATTATGCTCAGACAAACAAGACAAACAAGTGTACAGGAAGGCACCATAACCCAAAGACAAAGCTATCGTACGTCAGAGAGCAATTTCGACACAATGGAATACAGGATAAAGAGTCAGGGCTTAGGATAAAAATGGATACAGATACACAGTGTTCAATGGGGGCTACCAGTATGGGAAATGCACGTTTTAAACAGTTAAAATTGTCAATGATTTTCGGACAACTGAAGGCGTTGTTGCTGTGATGTCATTCGAGGGAGGCACTGTTCAATGTTGCAACCCAAACTTGAGCATTGGAAACCGTTCCCGAGGATCATTTGATTCATATGATGTTCTTAAATGAAAAGGAATAACCATAAGGGGAAGTCAAAAAGTAAAATTAATAGAAGTTGAGGTTTTCTCCCTGTAATGACATCAAAGTTTTGCTTATGCATGATGGAACTTTGCTTCAGCATACAAACCTTAAAGGCACCGAAATACCTTTACAATAGGAGAAATATGAAAAAGGGTGAATCGAAACATGACAGTGCATTTTCAACGGTTGTGATCATAACAGGTTGCAACAAAATTGCGTAAAGGATTATTCAGCAAGCATGATTAGAAGCCACTACACAGGTGGCACCACGCTTGTGGACAGTTGGTGCGCACGCGTTACGTGGATTGACCAATAGGATGTTGGCACTTGCCAAAAGCACGCGCGCGACAGCAGTAGTGCCACCGCAACTCTTGGTGGCGCACTATTTTGAAACGGCCGTATTAGTCTAAAGTAAGTAATACTCGTGTCAGACAGACGTTCTAGAGTCACGCCGAAGAAAATTAAAAGCAAATTTAGAATTAATTACGGCAAAATTCTGACGTCTGAAAAAAAACAGGAGCGACCAGGCTTGCTAGCAGGCAAAAGATTGGCACTTGAAGGTACTCGGAACGACACCAGAGCGACTTGGTTTCAGACGTTGCTCCTTTCATGGGCTGAACCCGACTCAAACACATGTATTACGTTCGTCAGCCTGAAACCCAAAATAAATTGCGTCGATAGGAGACGCTCTTAATTCTATTTGGCTCGGCGCGACCATGGAACGCCTGTCTGAAACGGGTGTTAGATAAACGGTAGATATCACGCAATCCAAAGCAAATTTTGCAGTAATAAATGGCACCTACAAACATACAGAAAACCTTTAGAAAGCACTCCAAAGTAAAATTATGCCTTGGTCTCTACAGACATAATACCTCTTTTGCATTGCATTGAATGACGTCATTCTGCAAGAGGGTTCCAATGGTTGCCTGCTTGACGCCTTCTACAGTCAAATCGCACTGGTAAGTTACGTTCATCTAGGTGGAAAGTCAATTGAATTTTGTTTAGATTTCAAACAAAAATCATTTGTTTCTCGCGCACTGCAACATTTCAGGCTTTTCAGTTTAGCAGTAGATGATGTTTTGAAGATTTTGCCCACAATGACAGTTTGTGGGACGAAATCAGGCAATCCCTGTACTGTTAACTTCAGCAAGAGCAAGTAAGGCTTTTACTTTAATTAGTATTGTGTCTGATGCTGTTTGTCCCTCATGGCACAAGTTGACGTTCTTGTAACTGGTAAGTACTTTGGTAAACGCTTTGGTTGATTGTTTTATCTCGCGATTATCGAATACGACATACTTTTAGTGCAATGACAATACGCTGAGAGACTTCAAATTCAGGAAATCAGAAACTGGTTTTCTGTTTGAAAATGACAATCAGGGGACTCAAGATACTGATCATCTGATACTGCAGAAACTGGGAAAAGGATTTTGAAAAGACAAATTGCCCTAAAATCACATTCTGGGGAAAGACATACTGCGAGTAACAACACAGTGCACTGTTCCTCTTCATGTGAAACAGTTTATTGAAACTGAAAGGTAGTTTCTGAATTTCCACATAATGATTGATTAAGTTGTATGCCAGTTTAGATAGATAATTCGGTGTCAGATTTTGGGGACAGCAATGTTTTCTATGTGGGTGTTTACTTATATCATGGAAATCAATCAGTGAGAAGATCTCATTCGCGAGCTGCATTTTGGTTTCACAATTTTCACAGATACAACTGCAGTTGTGAAGTGGGCAAACCATGTGCAAGGGCCTGTATTTTTTAGAAAAAGCATGGAGCATTTGAAGTCTTGCATAAATAACAATTATGCAAATCTTTCGATAATGCTGTTTCCCTCTTTTACTCCGTACAGCGAAATGTCTTGTCGTAAAATCAGGATGAAATTTTAAATCAATCGAACAAAATATTTGTATTATTTCCTTTCCAAATAAATTCCTCTATAAACGAAAATTGACGAGACTGACCTGTGGAGAGTCCGGGAGGTTGAAGGCGGGGACAGATATGTCGCTGGGAACCCCCACGGGGATGAGCACTTCCTCAGTCTGAGGTCGCAACTGTGGACAAAATCCTGGTCCTCGCACTGACGAGGCGCCTGGGTTCTGTGTGAATTCATTGAAAAAGCCTTTACATTGTACTGCTTTTATGCAACACATGTTACCCAGCTGTGGGAAGTTAAGCATAGCTGTATAGATGGATTTCACATTAGCGCCGTCTGCGCATATCCGCAACGAAACCGAGGCTCTCTGTGTTGATTCCACACAGTACATGCAGTATCCACTTCGTAAGTGTGGTGCCACTTCAGTTTAAACCACGCCCACTGCACAAGATACACGACCATCGCAGGTACGTTAGTTCGCGGTGAATTGCCATTATTTTTTTCATTTGATTTCACGTGTCGAGTCATCTTGAAAGACTCTTCCACAAAAAATTGCAGCCTGAAAAGTCTGAATTTAACATACCTTTATGTATTTTGCGTCTTGATTCCTTGCTTTCAATCGTCTGATCGAATTATGAATTGAAGCTGACACATACAGCCTCGATTTCAGACGCGGAAGTGCGCAGATCGACGCTAAAAGCGTTGTATTGGGATCCCTCTATTAACAAACGGGGCTGTTCTAACTAGTATCCCCGCTGCTCACTCAAAAAACTCAACCTAATAATCGAAACCCAAATTTTTCAACGTCATTGTAAAAAATATTACTTTTAAAATGATGTTATGAATGAAGTGGCTCAAAACTCAGGATCACGAACACCTACTGCAATCAGTAAGCAAAACAATGAATTTTTTCCTGGACTTGAAATGAGATTAAATTTACACTGTTTCCAGCGACAATGATGTCTTCCTGCGTACATTCAGTGCTCTGGTGTGTGCACCTGTTGCTGTAAACACACCAATCACAAGACCAATCGCTGCTGACGCACGAGCTACACCTGCAGAGCAACGACATATTTTAAGAGGTCAAGCCATATGAGAATATTTAGCTGCTATGGACAATTACACCATTTCATCTCAAATACCAGCGACTGTTAAGCCCTGTTGCCATAAAGCCCAGTTGTGCCATAAAGTATTCCAAAAGCGAAGTATATTTTTTTAAGTCCGTTTAGATTTCTCCAATGTCGTTTCTAAGAGATACCAGTATATTTTTCCAAAGTTCGTTTGTTTAAGACATAATTCTCTAGTTCTTTTTTATCAGATCTATACCTAAAGACATTTTTCATATTTTTAAGAATTAATCATCTTTACGAGATATATTTTCAACGTCGCTTTTACGTTTTTTTGCCAAAGTTCGTTCGTTTGCGACATATTTTCCTAATGAGAAGTGTATACTTAAGAACACTGTATTTTTGGAAAAAAACATTACACAAAAATCTTGTCAGCTCTGTTTTATTTGATGTAGAATAATACTTGAAAATAAAAATACCTCTTCACTATTAACAGCGTTAAATGATTTGTTTCCAGAGATATAAACGTTTCCAAAACTAGATCTCGTGAGAGTGAACGTACTGGAGAATATAAACGAACTAAATAATAATAAATCTCGTGAAAACGTAGTTGACAAATATTCTCATTTTTGTGAAGAGTATTTATATGAAATATTCTTCACAGAAACAAATTTCCAAAAAATATACTAAACACCGGCAGTGGAACGATGTTCGAAGTTGGAGGGCCAGTTGTTAGACCATCAGGCATCAGCCATTTACATGCCGATCCATTAAGCCCCACCCCATTATAGGACATTTTAAAAGGGGGGACCAGCCCCCCCCCCTCGAAAAAGTGGGGGAGGCCACTGGCCTCCCTGCCCCTCCCCCGCTTCCGCCACCAGTGACTTCATAAAAACGGATTTTGGAAATATGTACCGGTACTTTACTTTTGGAATGTACTTGTTGGCGCTACGAGGCTTCCGTATGCGACTACTTTTCACGATAAATCTAAGCAGTTTCAGCTGACAAGTTTTGTTCTTGGTAGCGTGCATCTTGTCAAAAGAGGTTTTGAAATAATCTAAATTTATGAGAGTTGATATAGGCCTATTCCCAAATCTGGTTTTAATAGCAAATCAATTTTTGCTAAGTATTCAGTAAAGTAAACCGGAGGTTTAGGATTAAAGCGAAGTGTAGGATGATCAGAATAATGCCCTCTCAATCAACAGGAACTGCTTCACACGAGAGAGATCCATTTTAAATTATTGGTTCCTGCTGAACAGGTATGAAACCTACAAATCAAATCGTGAGCAACTGTAGAAGCTGAAGTTTGCCCTGAAAAAGTTTACGCCAGATTCGGAGGCAAAGAGGCTCAGCGTCATGGTCACATGGCTTTCTGTAAAAAGAAGAAACAATTAGGAACTAAATTAGGCAAGATTTCAACCTTGTTTTTCTTTTTTTTTCTTCTCTTTATTCATTCTACTGATATTATCAGCATTTTAGTAGGCCTAAACTCAGAGGGATGCAGTTTCGTTTTGACCAATAGCATTGTGAAAATAATGGAGGGGCGATTTTTGACATCTGCATGAAAATGTTCATCAGCGTTCACGAAGGTGGCAGCCTGCTACACAGAGTAGTTGGACAAAGTGAATTTCCATATGAAACATTCAAACCACTGAATTATTCAGCCAATTTGGTGTTGAATGTATGTAATACATGTGTACATGTGTACGTGTATTCGGTTGTGCTCATTTTGCTCAGTGTTGCTTGCCTTGTTCTTTTCAATGATCGTTCGGAGATTCACCTTCTTAAATTCGACATGACTGTTAATTGTTCAAACTGTAAGCTTGCATGTACCAAGTGTGACAAAAACTTTGGGCGAATATAGAACCTACGAAGGCAAGCTGAGAAGATATATATGCTGAAAAGGAATCTATAATGAAGTTGACAGTTTTGTCGCTGTTTTTGTCAATGTATCATTCCACAGTTTAGTCGGCCATTTATTTGAGTGTGGATATCAATATCCAAAAATAGTAAAGGTTACACTGTGTTGTAGTAACGCACTGCTTCATTCGAGTTGTATAACGTCACAGGTAAGAAATACCCATACACAATAATGGTTAAACTGTACCACTAGTTATTACCCTAACCAATTCCACAATCATTTCATTGGTACAAAACGTCCAACTGTGCCGAAAATGTCGTGGTCAATCTACTCCATATTCGTCGTAACTCTCTGTTTATTTATGTGACCTTTAGTATTTCTTTATGAAAGGTCAAAGTGTGCCAGAAAGACCCCTTCACTACTTTTGATACTTGGCTTTTCGACTTGACAACACACCAAACAGACCCTGCTCACGCTTCCTCGCACACGTTGGAACAAATGACCATTAACCCAATATTGTAAACTTGTTTTAACTTACCTTTGGGCGGAATTGGCGGTATGGCACTATTTTCCGGAGTCATACACTTTATAACGTGGTCCACTGTTTCTCCACCCACGGGAAGGTCGTTGAACTTGCAAATATAAGACTCGCCGGACACCAGTTCGGGAAGTTGGTCCACCGTCACTACAATCTGCAAATCGGTTAGTATATTGCCGATTAAGTTTACTTATACACTCCTACTTTGTAGATTCCATACTCAACTACGCTCCAGCAAGTGACAACAAAGGTAAAACAATACTGTTTCTTTTATGAGCAAAGCCTTCTAGATTTTGGACAACTTGACCGAATTGTTACGATACAGATATGCTAGTTAAAAGCAGACTTGCTTTGATTCACCTGTTGCATGTAATATATTACAGGTTCCTTTAGTAAGAGGTAGCTCACCATTTGTGGGGGACTTGTTATAGGTAGGTTATCAGGCACAACACTGATACCAACGCACTGTAGAGCATTGTAAGGTAGCCAACGATATTCACCTTGAGCCATCACACAGTCACTGCGCTTCGTACACCTGTAAAGGTAAAAGGGAAACATTCCAACAAAGCCTCCTGAAACCATTTGGTAAACTTTCTGATACGAACATGCGTGGCATGCGATGTAAACTTACTGTGGCCAACGTATATGTTCAAGTATATTACTGTGAATTATCTACGTCAATGATGATTGGTGATCAGTGACAATGACGGTGCGATTCAAGACACTTCAAATGATTTTCGTGGTTTTGAGGAATCACACATTGAATTGCAAATGAAAGGGCCAACTATAATCTGTACCCTGAATTGTTTGACGACTCTAGTAGTCATACAATACGCCAAGTTACATGATTGTCATTCTGCATTTCAAACAGCCATACAACATGCCAATTGACATAGAAGTCGTACAGTATGCCAATTTAACAGTTTCGTTTCGTTTCGTTTTAGACGACTCACAAATTGTTGGTGATTCGGAATAGGAGGACCTCAAATGCTGCATTCGTAACTCAACAGTCTGACTTGGAGATTCGAACGAACCTCGCTGAACAAACTAAGGTCGAAAAGCCATTCAGTTATACGTACTCGGTTTTACTGCTACCAAAGGCCCCATGTAATCCTCCCAGCACGAGGTCAATGTAACGCAATAAACAAGTTTGCTGTATCGTTTATCCGTACTGGCTCGTTGTGTTGATGTTGGTTGGGATTGTAGAAAAACTACTTTGGGTCAAACCTTTTGAACACCTCAGCATTCGCCCGATTGGTTGTTTTCTGAGGCATGCATGTTCCTTTATTGAACAGTCTTTTGATACGGGGAGAAAAGCAAAAGATGAATCGAAGGAATGGAAAATATGATGTATTGAATTAACTTTGGGATATGATCAATTTAACTGTAGGGCATTAGTTTCTCTTCTCTCTAAAAAATAATAAAAGTTCAATCTTGTAAAACTCAGTTCGCAGTGATTAGACTTAAAATAAAGCAATGTATTGGTGTTATTCCCAAAAAGAAAATGGTTTGATCCCAAGTAGTTCTTTGTGGAGCACCGAGCATCAATTTAACAATCAGAAAGCTGCCCCGAGCTTTTTAATTCTAAAATCAGTGTTGAGAGGATTACCACGGGCCTGCAATGACAAAGGAGTGTGTGTAATTGAATGGCTTTTCTGACTGACGACTTTAAGTTGTTCAATGAGGTTCTGCCGCAACTCCAAATGGAAGCAAGTTGGTTCACGAATGCAGCATTTGATTGGCCCGACTTTATTTTGAGTCATCTTGATCCGAATCATCGAACATTTTGTGGGTTATACGAAAGAACAATACTACGAAAGCCCGTTAGAACCAATATATTTATTACCATCCATCCATCCATCCATCCATCCATCCATCCATCCATTCATTCATTCATTCATTCATTCATCCATCCATCCATCCATTCATCCATTCATTCATTCATTCATTCATTCATTCATTCATCCATTCATTCATTTATTCATTCATTCATTCATCCATTCATTCATTCATTCATTCAAAAAATACACGGGAAATTCCTGCTGTACACGCTTGAATCGCCGTGACTCACCCATCAAGAGTCTTTATAGCACAACAGCTGGGCCCGGACAGTGTAAATAATGCCACGTGGCCAGCCTCTCCAGACCCAGGCTCGGCCCTGTCAATCACAAGAGCTTATCCAGGACTCTAGGTCAACACACTATATGTTTACAGTGCTGGCGGCCAACCACAAGCTTCCAGATACATTGGCAAGCATCCCAGACATTGGCCTGATGCATTTTTCAAAGGGGGGAGGAGTGTTGTAGAGGGGAGTAGGCATTGCGTGCATTATCATAATATAGCAGTGTTTTGTGCACAAACATATGGGAATGGTATGGACCCCCCCCTGTTTCAGTCACTGCCCGGGCGATACCGAGATTGACACCCCTCTCAATAGTTAGGTGGGGAAAAGTTAGGAAAAGTCAAGGGAGTTCAATCAGGTCATGCGTGGCAGTTAATACAAGAATCAAATCACGTGGTTTCTGTGCCAATCTGGGCACACGCTCCCTCGCGGCAGGGTAGCAATTTTGACAACTTTGCTATCCTCCATGAGAGAAGAAACACTACTAGGGAGCGATTTTCATTTCTTCTTAACTTATCAATGCCAAACATTCACAAACCACATTATTTGATGTATACTTTACCTGTCCTGCAGTGTGCACCAGCCGCAGTATGGGTCCCCGTCCTGTTCAGCATTCTCGCCTATGCAAGACTCGCAGGTTTTGTACTGGTTACAGTTTTCCACTCGCAATTTCAGAAGCTGCAAAAATTGCAATCAATCAAAATCACAAAATGGTCGATTGCTTATTTATTACTTAATTTTGTGGAAACGACCTCACCGGTTCAGCCTTTCAGCTTTAATCCCACTCAAGTAACCCTTTGACACAGCTGTGCAACAAAGTCTGAAAATCTTTAGAGATACGTTTTCGCGCTGTGTCCAGATTTTCCCATTCTCCTTTGAAATAACACTCGTTCTTCAAACTTCACACTAGATGAAATGTAGCAACAACTGATGGCGCTGCACAACCTGCCATCCCAGAGCTGTATGTACAGTCTACACTGCAGTGTGGATCCATGTACGTACAATTATAAACAGCTCTGTACAAACTACTGCTCTGGTGGAAAAACGCCACCTAGGTTCATTGGTCTGAGCTCACGTAAGAAAGAGTACGAACCAGCAGCACCACATACCAGCTTTCATCTGAATCGAGTGGGTAGGGGGTTAACTTGTTAGAAGGATAGCGGAAATGAGAAGAGGGCGCTAATTGGTTTGGGTGAAATATCTTTATGTTTACTCAACATTTTACCCACTTCAATTGGCGCCTATTGTGTCACACTGTCCGCCATTTAGAAAGCTGATCGGGTCAGTGGAGCAATGGTGTTCACGGGCCTACACGTCTTTTGTTATTTACTCTCAGTTTTATTTTTAATTCAATCTTCCCAAGAAACTCTGCCTCAGTTCATGGAGTCTTATTTTCTGTGAGATAAACATTGAACTTTGGCACCCCACCTCGAATATGGAGCTCAAGAGGCTGCTCTTTGAGCGGGCACGTACTTCACCAGGAAGTGACAAATCATTGCCCCACTTTTGGATTGCAGGAAAATTTCTCTTATTGTATCATGGTATTATGTCAGCTACCGGTATCCTGAGGAATAAAACAGGTTGCTGTTGTTGATATCCTATTAGACAATTTGGAGCAACTAATCATTGCACGTGGTTTGTGTCTGTTGATTTGTACGTGCACAATATCATACGCTCGTTCAGGTAAAGAGCGTTGTCTTTCTCGCGTATTATGTGCGCGCATGGAAGACTTGATGGCCTTTTTAAGAAAGTTGCCAACTCGTTCCCATGGGTATGATCTTGCTGCGCCATGTTGGTTCCCACCATGCCTTGTGCGATCTAACCCCTGGTATTGAACTGCAACACTAAAGCATTCCTTAGTCATATTTCACCCTGTTACTTCTGACTGGTCTTGTCCATGGTCTAGTGTGTGGTCTTGTGTATGGTCTTGTATATGGTCTTGTGTATGGTCTTGCGATGGTCTCGACTACAACACTGTATTGTATGATTTAAATATCCCACTTAATTATAGGACTTAAGTCAGTGTGTTCACGCGCAGCACAGGTTTACGCGTGCGTGGCGTGCAAGAGAATACGCGTGCGATTGACTTTACGTTTATGTATTCATCGAGTCTTGGTGAAGACGTTGGGGGCGCACTTCATGATGAATGCCACTTGAGAATGAACCAACGTAAATAGGCCAGTAATATGTCCGCCAAGCTCATTAATGAAAGTAATAAACTGAAAATATTCTAGATTAGAGGGTCCTGAGAGACATGGAACTGGGACATTGAAGAAAGATTGCACTAAATATCTGGCCCGGACACAGGGCTTCCAATTCTGAACAACTAGAAAGTGGCACTATTTAGCCGTTTTGCAGGGGGATGCATTTTCAAAATGGATACTTTTCCGGCAATGAAATTTCCCCCATTTTAGGGGTAGTCCGCATTGGCTGAAATATTCTCAAAAATGTATTGGGCAACCCGCTACAAATTGAAAGGAATATGAAAGAGGACACGTGGAACATCATTTTGCTGTGCAGCCTGAACATCTGTGAGAGTGGTATTTTTGCAATGTTTGTAAAGTATGGGGATTTATTACTGCTGTCCATGGTAATTTATTTGCTTCAGTGCATCCCTGATGATCCCTTCAGAATGGCCTCCGTGTAAGCTGAGAAACGATATACCATCTTTTGGGATTGCTAGACCCAGAGGAGTAAAGAAGGTGACGGTGACTACAGAGGACATACAAAGTTACAAACGGCACTGCCCGCATACCAAACCTTCTTTTTGTACAGTTTAAAAAAACGAAATTACAAAAAGATAATTTCAATAAAATACATAAAAGAAATCAAATAAATAATAAAAAATAAAACTGTTTAAAAATTGCAAAAAAATTAAAAATTGAAAAGGGAAATAAAAGATGTAAAAAATAAATCTTGAAAAAATGTTGGCACCAACAGGCTTTCGTACTGAATAGCCAGTCAGCGTATTTTTTCGTATTCTACACGATCAGGGGCTAGTGAAGGAACGTGCACGCAGCCCATGGAGTCGAGGTTGGATCGTTCCCACAATGACCGAGTTATTATCGTTCAGTAGGAGAATGGCACAGGGCCCAAAGATTTCAGTCGCAGTTCACAGGAGCCGAATTGTGGTTTTACCTGCCGCTCCGTAAGAATGCGTAACTCTTGTTTCGAGTCATCCAGGCTGATGTCTGTTAGCACAGCACTGTCTCCAAGCTTGATTGTCTCGTACAGTCTCGCATAAGTCCGGTTTTCAAGGTGAACCTGAAATAATTAGAACACATAATGTATAATTCAATATTAAAGTAACAGTTAT